ACATCACCGAGCGCTCGCCGGGGCGTAAACAGACGACTTGGATCATTGTTGGCCTGGAATGCTTTTGGTGCAACTGGAACTGATAAAAAAGGTACATTGTACTCAATATAGATCCTCTCCTTGTTTTCAATATCCAATGTTTCACAAGATTTTTTTTTCTTTCACAACAAATACTTTTAACTAATAAAATGTCATTTACTTAACTATTATACAAGGGTTTTATCTTTGTATGTTTTGGTGGCTATACTATATGCAAGGACATAATGTCCTTGCTATATGGTATAGGGTTCAAGCATGTAAAAATACCTAATCTCGTCTGGCTCATCTCATCCATAATTACTGATTACAAAATCCCTTCTTCCTCTTGAAGAAAGTGAACTTCTGCTGTCCTTGTAGCTAGAAGGGTATCATAATTCCTATACAGTTTTTTGTTTCAGAATTATTTCCCTATACATAGAGATGGTCAGTAGACTTGAGGGTGTGCAGAATTGAGACCAAAAATAAACTGTGAAGTGCCCCCTAAGGGCACAACAAGTAATTTTTATGGATGACATCAGCGTGTGCATATTAATTATCAGCTGATTTTGGGAAGAAAAACAAGAAATTTTGTTGCCTTCTGACAGTGTCAAAGATGTCTGTTACCATGCCAGAACATGGATGGCAGATAAATATGAAGAGAGGAGACAAATATACAAGGCTCTGATTTATTGTTTTGTCTTTCACTTTGATGCATTGATGCTTTTTATTACTTTTATATGCAATTGGATGTTTACTGAATCAAAACCATTTGTAAAATCACTGAAAACTTTTATTTTCAGAGATAAATGGATGTTGTGTTTAAATAGTTGGCAGTAAACTTAGCACAATACAGTATTACAGGTATCATTTCTTGTTTAACAAGGTTTGAGAATGTAGGAACCTTGTTTTTTGGCCCGCCTTATTATTATTATTATTATTTTTTTTTCGAAATATCGCCTCAGATTTGGAGTCTGCAGGAGAATGTCGTCCATAAAATTTATTTGGTCTGGCCTAAGTACAGAATGCTGGATGTTTTTCTGACCAGTGCTTGATTTGGATGGAAGTCTGTTCCTTGCAGCCACGCCATTGGCTCCAAGCTGGGTCAAATTCTCCTTCTCCACGATAATGGCCGCCATGGTCAGCTCCTGAGGCAAAGAAAAAATAAAACATCATACCAAAACGAACTCAACGAAGTTATACATATTATTTTTGAGGGAGGGGGGTGCTGGTTAGTGGCTATGATACGGCAACTGAACTAGACTAATTCAAAATTATAGACTTATTTCTACGGCTTAGAGTTCTGTCGGAAAGACCATCGACTAAATCTGCTTTTATGTCTTTTATCATTTCGTAACAGATAATACTTGAGGGTCCACGAACCAAGAAAACTTCATGTCCGGACATGCATAAATTATTTTTGCTGTCACAGCACAGAGTTACTAGCACAGACTATTGATTCCCACAAACTTCTTCGTCAAATTTGTACTTATTTCAACATTGACTGGTCCATGACACAACCTTTCAAGCGTTCTAAGAAAACGTGCCTTACCTTAAAACCTTTCTTCCCTCTCTTAGTTTAACGCCAGACAAGCCGAGAAATGCTGTCTTCTCTGTTCAGTGTTCGGAGTCGTTTGGGGTTCAAGAGACGCGCGGCGGAGGCGCCGACCAATCAGAGTCACGTATTTCAGTCTTGTGATCAGGCATATGTTAATGAGGTAAAAACAAGGACAACAGTGACGACCGCGCTGTAGTTTGCCGAAACTACTCTAGACATGCAGGAGGTACCTCTTTGGATATGTTTCCGGACGTGGATATAGCACTCGTTGCGCGAGGGTGAATCGGTAACGGGGAAAGGCGTCATGTTTACATACCGTGACCTCTGACCCATGACGCGTTCGCCCTTGCGGTCGACAGAATGTACTGCGCATGCGCGATTCCTGTCATGAGTGACGTTCGTGGTCGGACCATCATGGTCGGACGTCCTTTCAGTTCCCTATCTGTCTTTTTCGGCAGAACGTCTTAAGTTGTATTTTTAGGACTTACTAGTAACGTTACCTGAAATTCGAATCTTTATCATCATAACTTTCCTCGAAAATGTCAATGACACTCTTTTGAGTCTTCAACCTAATACAAAGGAGCAAGGACATTATTTTTTGCAATGAGCTGAGTTTAATAGAGTAGACTATCCAAAGAAGTGGCTGTATAATGTCCTTGGGTTAAGGTTTTAAAAAACATTGCTAAAAAAGAAAACACCATGCCAGCTATTTGTGTAATTTTTCTAATATTCCGGTGTAGTGATATGTGTACATAAGTTAGGTATAATTTTCTATACTATAACGTTAGTACTAGTAGTCCAATTAAAACAACCACTGTAGCTTGGAAAAACATTAAACTTGACCACTCAGAGAAAAATCATAAATGGGATACTCTCTTTATTATTCCTTATAAAATCTGAGATATTGTGTATTAGTATTGAACAAAAAACTGCCAGGCTTTTTGCTGTTACCGGTAAACATCATAACAAGTTACTAACCAAACATGATATTTCTGCCACAGTTTACTCAGTCGACAAGTCCTGACCCAAGTGCTAATGCGTTCCTGCTAATTTTCCTCATACATCATGATCTTTCGAACTTAGAAATCATGTTGGTAACATAAATAAAGTTAGCACTTTCATCCAACGGTATATATATACTTGTACCTGGACTTAGGCAGGTGTAAATAACTACAGAGAAATCCTTCAGTCCCATTTGGACCGTCTCCTCTGTACAGTTTCTGTGCCGTCTGAACTGACATTCACATACAGCTGGTCTCTCTGGTTCTCCTGGCTGGCATTCAGGTAGGCAATGTAGGCAATGCATCCTGTGATTGTCACAAGACCAAAGGCCATCACTATTTTGTTCTGAAAGAAAGGACATGTAATATATGAACTAATACAATGGATACCTTTTACATATAATCATTGAATTTGCCTTCCCATGCTTATCATTGGAAATTGTTTGCAACTTGGCTCCTAGTATATAGCATGTTTGTGATATATCTTTTTAGTGAATATCCACATTGAAATACTGTGCTACACATCTAAAAACTATGTATGTAAACGTGACATGATAGTATGGATTCAGAAAACTTATGTACAACTGTCCAGTCGGTTAGACCTTACCGGGCGCATGAAGAGTTCTGGGTTGACCACACGGAACAAGGTGGTTGTCTGGACATGGCTGAGTCCTGGCGTTCTGGAACCGGCTGAGGGCGGCTTTGAACTGGCTGAGGGTGACTTCAGGTCTGTGTTTGCTGTTGGCTTTAGGTCACCTGGACTCTTTTCTGTGGTCATCTTTATTCTGTAAACTAACCAAAAAGGTGACTTCAGCAAAAGGAACAAAACATGGTTGGCCATCTATGAGAGTTTGTGATGCATTTACAATTTCTAAGATCTCTGGGAAGTAAGTGACTACCTCCCTAAATGTGGCAAAAAATGGGTATATTTTTTCATGCAGAAAAAGTTATTGTTTCAGAAATAGACACAAGGTACCACAAGTGTACTTAAATGTAACGTTACTTTCTACTTCAATGTAACGTTACTTTCTACTTCAAAGGTCACAGTAACTTGTAAATCCACCACCTGTACCCCCTCCCTCCCCCTCAACATCCACTCATACGGAAATTCCTACCCCCTTCTAATAACGTTGCATGAACGTCGTCGTTATAATCAACAAACGGATGGGTTCCAGTTATTTCAGATGTTAGTCTGGTGTCCAAACCTATTTTAGCTACCGAGTCTCTAAGGCTTCGTCCTCTCCGGAAAATGTTCTTCCCTCGGGTTTCTGTGTCGTCTGCTAAGGTCAAAGTTCGCCTAATCTCGTACATTCTCGCTCTGAAAAGATCTCAATTTTGCCTCTCCGGCCACCTTGTTAGACAGTCACGATGTGACTGATTACAAGTCTAGAATACCTGTTCTTACACTGACAAATAATCTTGACTAGAATTTTCGGTAATGAAGTTATAATCTGGCAAACGGAATGAGCCACGTGACCAAATAGAATATTGGAACGCATCAAAATGGCTGCCCCCAGAAGGAAGAAGGCGCGAACAGTGGAAAATGAAAAAGCTGAACCACAAATTCTGTTTCCAGAAACCAAGATATTCATTGTTGACAGGAAAATGACAAAATCTCGACATGACTTTCTTCAGGCGCTAGCAAGGAGAAAAGGCTTTGTAGTATGTGGCCAGTTTGGGTAAGTATAACGTGCTTCATGGTTACCTCCATGCCTGCCTGGTGTAAATAAATGTTTGTACCAGTTAAGATCAAGTAACAGTGCAGGTAACCTCTTTGCGTAACGTTATATCCAAAAGCCAACCCCTGTTCTAAGTGATTGAGCATATATTTTGGTATTGTACAATGTACAAATAGCTCCTTGATTGAAATTATGTCCTGTATGTTTTTAAGTGGGGGTGAAGTCTGCCATATCTGATTGCCTTGATGTTTATTTATTTATTTATTTATTTATTAGGATGTGTAATCCTACAGGTCAACAGTGACACATATTGTAGCAGAGGACCTGTCTACCGAACAGGTGATGTATGTAGTATCTGTTCACTGAGGTATAGTACCTGTTTACTGAACAGGTGAGGTACAGTACCTGTCTACTGAACAGGTGAGGTACAGTACCTGTCTACTGAACAGGTGAGGTACAGGACCTGTCTACTGAACAGGTGAGGTATAGTATAGTACCTGTCTTGTACTGAACAGGTGAGGTACAGTACCTGTCTACTGAACAGGTGACTCTGGTACAGTACCTGTCTACTGAACAGGTGAGGTACAGTACCTGTCTACTGAACAGGTGAGGTACAGTACCTGTCTACTGAACAGGTGAGGTATAGTATACTAGTAGTACCTGTCTAGTACTGAACAGTCTCAGTTGTAGTACAATGTAACGTTACCTGTCTACTGAACGGGTGAGGTACATGTACAGCATGTAGAATTTATGGTGTCACACTCAGATAGGAAGTTTGGGCGTCACTAACATTTTGTGTTCACAATGTGTATACATGTATATGCGTGCGTGTGAGATGTAATTTTGGAATCAAAGCTTCACGCGTGCGTGTAAGATGAAATACCGGAATAAAAGCATTGCTCTTGAAATTTCCTGATTAAAGTATTAGTTTTGAAAGGTGCTGTTCAGTTTGTTGCAACGAATTCCCATGGGTGCAGTGTACTTTTTTTGTTGTAATGATCTCCCATGGGTGTAAGAAGAGTATTAATATCCAGAGCGAGTGAATCGTGTGTAGTAAGAGTCGGTGTAGGTAATTAGCTTGTAAGATTTGGTGTAACATTCTGAAATGGGCCATGATTTTCTATGTCCAATATTTGGCCACTACTGACAATGTGACATTACAAAAAGTAGATACAGTACAATTTTTAAAAGATAGCCCATTGCCATGCACAAAGTAAATGAATACAATAGTAACATCAGTATATATTAAGATTTAAACATGTAATTTCAGGTGATGGAGTATTTCCAGAAGAAAGGTGTGACCAGTCTGTACCCTGGCCAGGAACTCTTAAACATGGAATGGTTCACCAGAAGTATGGAGGAGAAAAGGCCAGTTCTTTGTACTGACAGCCTCAGGCTGAAACCCTCACAGGTGTGTACACGTATCCTTTACAACATACATGTATTTAATTTAACAAATCAAACAATGTCTTGTAAGGGTACCTGTACTCTACATGTAGTCAAAATGTGTGTGTACAGCTAACACTGGAAGTCTGGTAGTGTCTGCGGTATTATATAGTAGTATACTATTGGTCCAGAATTTATGCATTACTTAAGTATTTTGCTACATTTCTCTTGTTGCTTTGTATTTCTCTGTTTGAGTAGACCCAAATATGGCTGTCATTTTGAGATGTATCCTGCACATAAACATGTATTAGGGAATATCATTAAGGTAACCAAGTTTGTTTGGTCTTGTACTTCTATAGGCATCTGTATCTGTTGCTACAGAGGACATTCCTGTAAGAATGCCCAGCTATGAATGTCAGAGAATCACAGCACTAAAGCACCACAACCACAGGTTCACTGTAAGTACATCTAATCTAGTAATCTATCATATATAAAAATATCAACATATCAAATTTCATAATTCTACCGGGTACCTTAAGGGAACAGTTTGTATGTGTATCAATGTTTGCGATGAAGAACTGAATCTATTATTGTCCTACTGCAAGTTTCAATTACATGTATCTCAAGGTAGAGTAGCCAGGAATCTAACTAATATGCTTCATATTCCTGTCTTCGTACCATTTTACCAGACTGCTCTGGAGCTGTTGGAAGAACATGCAGGGTACCAGGGTGGTGGGCAGAGGGCAGACTCTCGAGCCCGGGGCTTCAGGAGAGCATCCTGTACACTAAAATCCCTCTCCCATCCACTCACTAGTATAGAGCAGGCCGGCAAACTGCCTAACATTGGGCCACACAGTCTGGCTGTCATAAAGGTACATGTGTACTGCATTTCCTCCATACTATTATCTTTCATCCAAATGTCTGCTTGAACTTCTTTTAACCAGACACGTACTGCTATGATACTTGTAGCTCTAACCTGTCACTACAGAATGAGACAGAAACATGGAAATATTGTGCAGTGATGCAGAATAAGGTGTTAAAGTATGACAACTGTCATATATACATGTATTACATAAAGCAGACAGTGATGAATTTTTGTGCTTTTGCTTTATTTTGTGCTTTGGTCTTGTCCTTTTCCACAAAGGACATCCTTGAAGATGGTTATTCTCAGGAGGTTCAGGACATCTGTGATGGAGACTTCTATAACACAATGCAGGTAACGTCTAGTCTATGTCATGCCCTCAGTACCCCTCCTCAGTACATTCGCTTTTTTTAAGCACTATGACAAAGATGAGAGATTGGTTTTGAGTATTTGATACTAACAAACAAAGGTATTTCACTTCTCATCTCTTCTTCTGTGTCAGCTTTTCACAGGTATTTTTGGTATTGGATGCTCCACGGCAAGGAAGTGGTATGAAAAAGGGTTTCGCACGCTGGATGACATCAGGAATGACTCCACTATCACTCTTAGAAAGGACCAAAAAATTGGTGAGTTTTCATGGCCACTGGATGCCCTTATGATTACAGTACAACTGAAGTATATGCTCACTCATCCAAATTTGTACCCCTTGACTTGATTCATATGTCATTGATGGGCTTTTATGTCATTAACCATTTGTTCTTTTATGTCATCGACCAATTTGGATAGTCTTTAAGGTGCCTCGAAGAGAACGATTTCACTCATATATACATTTTACATGTGTGGATGAAGTTTATTTCTGTTGAGTTAATGTTACATCTCCTTATCTTTAGGACTGGAACTCTACCAGGACTTGAACACACCAGTAACTCTGGCTGAAGCTAACATCATCCAGGAGCTGGTGAAAGCAGAGGTGCAGAGACTGCAGCCTGGGGCAACTGTGGTGTTAACAGGGGGGTTCAGAAGGTACAACAGGAGTGTTAATAGGGGGTTCAGAATGTACAACTGGGGTGTTAATAAGGGGTTCAGAAGGTACAACTGTGGTGTTAATAAGGGGTTCAGAAGGTACAACTGTGGTGTTACCAGGGGGGTTCAGAAGGTACAACAGGGGTGTTACCAGGGGGGTTCAGATGGTGCAACAGGGGTGTTAACCATTTGTTTCACATATAATATCTGGCAGTTATATGTGAAACAAATGTAATGAATAGGTCATGTATAGATTATCTAAGTTGTTTAGACAGAAATTGTTTCAGTGGGTTATATTTGACCAGTACTCAGTAGTGTTCCAGAGTTTAAAAAATGAGCTTCTTGACATACTAGTAACTTGACAGGTGATTCTTAGCGTAGGTTGGTTGAAGGCTGCCGATGTAGTAATGGTGTTTTCTACCACAGAGGCAAGACTGAAGGGCATGATGTGGACCTGCTGATCTCACATCCCACAGAAGGGAAGGAAACAGGCTTGTTGTCTGCTGTACTGGCCAGACTCAGACGAAAGGTGAGTCAGGATCTCCCATCCTACAGACTTGATGCCTGCCATACTCTCCAGGCTGAATGCTGTTGCCTGGCTGCATGGGGCTAGGGAATGATCATCAGAGTGACCCATCAGGCTGCCATTTCTAAAATAGTGTCACTGCTCTCCAAACAAGTTTAAGTTCTCTACAAATATGATCAGGATTATTCCTCTCCTTAGAACCTTCTTGCCTATGAGAGCACAACTGCCAACACATATGATCCAAGCACAGTGACCAAGAAGGAGTACACCCTGGATCACTTTGAAAGATGTTTCTCCATCTTCAAGTTTGACAAGTCATGGATCAGTTCCAAACCAACATCTCAGTCTCCACCTGGTGTGGTCAAACCAGGAACCAGCAACCCAGATCTCCCACATCAGGGGGATAGAGTCAGCTTGGGGACAGCAGGAGGCTCAGATGGAGAAAGCACAGCTGAGAAGGCTTGGGTTGGTCGGCGGGTAGATCTGATCATTGCTCCAGCTAGCCAGTATGCATATGCACTCGTGGGATGGACAGGATCCAAGGTAGGGTCTTGAATCTTGATATATATATATAGGGTACAGTACTAGTACCAGACTTTCAGAATCTGAAAAATGGTAGATAATGTTGTTTTGACAGTACTTCTGTCTGTATAGTAGTTAACTTGTGCTTTGTTCCTTTCACTTCTACAGTACTTCAACAGGTCTGCAAGGCTGTATGCAGAGCGTGAGATGAACATGAAGCTTACCAGCCATGTCCTGTATGACCCAGTCAAGGTAAAACACTGCTGAGTGGGCATTAAACATACTGTCTCTTCTGGCATAAAGAAAAAAAGACCCCATGAATGAGTAAGGGATCCATGCCTGTTGGCATGTTACTGTCATAAAATAACATGTTCTGGAAAAGAAAGATAGGAAAGAAATAAAGTAAAGTTATCAGTATATGCTGTGTGCCATGTCTAATTAAGGCTGAAACAAAGAACTGCATCCTCCATTGTCGAATGAAATAAAAACTCCAGTCTAGCTGCCTACCTGATACCATGTAATAAACATTGTCTAGTACTGGTCTAGCATGACTAACTTCTTGCTGTTCCACAGAATCAGTACTTGTCTGCATCCAGTGAGGAGGATGTGTTCCGCCATCTACAGCTGCCTTACAGAGAACCAACAGAACGGAACTGCTGATAGGTACATGTGCTGCCTCCTACAGACAATGTGCAAAGTAAAGAGAGGTTTGATAATGCATGCTGAATAGCATACACAAATATGTGACTTTTCATTGAACATAATTTCCTTCATAAGGCATGTTTCCATCTGTGATACCGGTACTACCATTGTTATAGAGCAGTGGCACTGCTTCTGATGTTCCTCAGTACCAGTGTTACAGAGTAGTTGTACTGCTGCTGATGTTCCTCAGTACCAGTGTTACAGAGTAGTTGTACTGCTGCTGATGTTCCTCAGTACCAGTGTTACAGAGTAGTTGTACTGCTGCTGATGTTCCTCAGTACCACGTGTTAGAGTAGTTGTACTGCTGCTGATGTTCCTCAGTACCAGTGTTACAGAGTAGTTGTACTGCTGCTGATGTTCCTCAGTACCAGTGTTACAGAGTAGTTGTACTGCTGCTGATGTTCCTCACTACCAGTGTTACAGAGTAGTTTATACTGCTGCTGATGTTCCTCAGTACCAGTGTTACAGAGTAGTTGTACTGCTGCTGATGTTCCTCAGTACCAGTGTTACAGAGTAGTTGTACTGCTGCTGATGTTCCTCAGTACCAGTGTTACAGAGTAGTTGTACTGCTGCTGATGTTCCTCAGTACCAGAGTGATGAGGAGGAGGATCAGAAGAATTCTTGCCACATTAAACAGCTTCTTGTACCTCTTCTTCCTCCTGTCAGGAAAGTGAATAATGTTTTCTTAGCAGGGTTTGGGTTGGAGTGATAAATTGAGGAGTTAATGAATTTCATTAACAGCTTCCGTAATTTATTTTCTCAATCACAAAAAGGAAAGGAGGACACCTTTGGAGAACAAGCTCTAGTTGAAAAATGTACAAAGTCTGTGTACATCTTGATTCCATTGTTCGGAAAATTGTTAGATCAATCATATTTGAGTGGATACAAAAACTAGATACATCAAGTGTATACTCAAGGTGAATACTGGTAAATAAATGTTCCATACCTGTGTTGATATGTCATCATCAAGACAAAAAGAACCATGATGATAGCTGCAACACTCCCTGCTGCTAAGAGTTGGTCTGTGCTGTGTACAGTTCTCAGTCGAACAGATGACCACATACGACGGGACTTTCTCACTGGAACTGGCTGTGATAATGGCTGGTTCTTACTGTTTGTTGAGTTGATGTGATCTGTGATTTCCATGACATCTTCAACCTGCCAGGTGTCACTGAAAGTGTCCCCAGTCTGGTTCAGGGTGGTGTTACTAATCATGTGCAAGGTTGTCTCATACTGGTAAGGATGTGCAACAGACAGCTGTATGTGGAGGCATGAGCACACACATTGTTAGCTGTTGCACACATGCCTTTTACTATTATAATTCATAGAGGTTATGTTCCTTTGCATACCCTGATTTCCTTACATCGAAGTTGTATGTACATGTATCATAAGTTGATCATGTACCTGAAGTTACTACCCCAAGGTGAGATTAGGCTACTTAGGAAGCTGTTAGTTTGGTTAGCTCATCACATTCCATGTTTGGAAGTACAGAATTAGAAGTACCACATCTACTAAACCTACATGATAGAGAATACCGTAAGTCTGAAAAAGTCACCTGTTCCAGCCGCAATGTCCACCTGCCTGGACCCAGGGGGGCACACACTAGCTTGTCATGAAACCACTTCTCAGGCTGAAACAGACCAACATGAACTGCAACATCAGCAAGCTTCATATCACAGTCATTCCAGCCAAATAGACGTTTAGGGTTGAAAGTTGTTCTTTACTGATTCTTGACCTTCTTCCTTCAGATAACATTAGCATTGCAATCAACATAAAAATACCAAGTGAAGTAACATAATGGGATATATATTGCACAAATTCAACAAAACAATCAGGTAGTAATTTATTGACATATCTATGGCAATACCATGGCAACAGTTAATGCCAGTCCTGCAGATTGTGTGGAAGAATCACGTACCGCTATGTTGTGCCGAGCCTTGGGCGGGTTCCACAAGAATGCTGTCAGTTTGCGACAGTGTTCTTCACCACGTGGATTCATCACCCGGATGGAGAAGTGGAGAATAGTGTTTTTGTTCCCTTGCAACTTGTCAAACCGGGCAAACGTGGTCTCCGTACCATTATTTCCTGTGATGCATCCACAGGGTAAGGTGGTTATTATAACAAAAAGAGCCAGTGTGACTACAGCTAGTAGTATTTCTTTTTGGAGATTAATGGCTTGTTTAATCCCAATATTACCTTTGTGCGCTCGGTTTAGCGTGCAGGTTCCAGTTTCTGTTTCTTCTCTTGTTGCCTTTGCAAGCAGTCTGAGGTGCACCATGGCTGCTCCTGCCTCTTCTAGTTTAGGTAAGACAGTGTGTCTGTTGGTCTCCCAGTGGCTAACACACAGGGAGAGGGTAAATGTCACTTTTTCAATAGTCAAACTTTTATTATGTGATATTTTACATTCGTGCAAATATAGTTAAGCAAAGATACTGTTAACACCTTTCAAGTAAGCAACAAGTTGGCAACAGCATTCCCACACATTTGTTACCTGGTTGTCATTTCCAAATACTTGAGATGTCCTCGATCAAAGCAAGTTCCTCTTGGAGTGTATACCTGAAATGAAGTATGTGTACTTTTCTTCAGTGTCAAATTGCATGATGTAATACAGCAAACAGTAGATGCACATATTTTGGGCCAGGAAATAGGAGATAACAAAACAGTATATAACTTACAAGTGATGCCCTCATTTTCATCCTTGTGCCAGAATCCTGGATAAGAAAGTGTGAAAAGCGAAGATGTGGCTATAGGAGCAATAACTTCTGATATTACCAAATTCGTTTATAATTCCAATGTTTTTAAAATGATTTTCTATACTTGCCATGGAAAAGTCTATCCAGTAGCGCGAGGATGAGTGCTTGTTGGTCCGCACGCAGCAGGTGGATTTATCAGGCACCAGGCGGGGCAACACCCGCCAGCTAAGGACAGACACCGAGCTGGAACAAACATAATGACTAACATGAAGACCCAGTTTGGGATGAAAATACATAGAGCAACAGGAGATTGTATTGAATAGTTGGCAATACAATAGTAGTTCTAGCCCACCTGCAGACTTTAGAGGTGCCATCCCCATGGACACGCCGACATGCACGCTGAGCCAGGGTCCTGCAGAAATGGATAACAAACATTCACACACACATAATATATAATCAGAAACGCACACAGACACATAACGAGGGGTGATCCAAAAGTTCTCGGCCTCACCTAGAAAATAAAGGTCAAACTCCTATTCTTTGGTATAACTGTATACTATGATATCTTACATCACTGCACACAAAAATGCAATTTTTTATATTCATTAATTAGCACGTGACGCCCCGTGAAAGTGGTGTAAAATTACAAAATGGCCGCAACAGAAGCGTGTGCTGTGATCAAGTATATCGATAAAAAACGATGTCTCCTAAGGACAGCCATGAAGACATGGTCAAGACACTTGGTGATGACTCCCCTTCTTATTCAAGTATAAAGAATTGGGTTACTAGCGACAAGCGCGGCAAGGAGAGCACAAAAGATGAACATAGGTCAGGATGCCACAAATCAGCACCACGGACAATCCAGTTGAGGCCATTCATCACATGGTAGTAAATGACAGATGTGAGACTGTCCGACATGTAGCAGGTTCTTTGGCCTGTGTTATGACTCAGTTCACAATGTTTTGTCGAACATCCTGGGGATGAACAAACTGTCTGCATGGTGGGTGCCTCGAATGTTTTCTGAACATCAGAAGTTAAACAGGCTGGACAATTCAAGGAACGAATTCAGTCCAATCCATGCAATTTTCTCAAAACATTTGTAACCCAAGATTAGCTGGGTACACCATTTTCACCCCGAATAAAAACAGCAGAGCTAACAATGGATGAAGAATTTTTCCCGGCCCCCAAAGAAGTTTTAGTGAGTTTCATCCGTTGACAGGGTTTTTGCCTCTGTTCTCTGGGGCAGTAAGGAAGTAATCATGATTGACTACATGTGAAGGGGTTAAAGCATCAATGGGGAGTACTATTCAACAGAATTACGACAGTTGAGGACAACGATCAAAGAGAAAAGGAGAGGAAAGTACCGAGCTGGCGTGATGAAAATGCACCTGTCCTCACAGCACAGGGGTCAGTGGCTGCAGCAAACGAATTTGGGTTTGCAGTCTAACCCCACCCTTCCAATTCACCTGACCTAGCACCGTGGGCCTTCTACCTGTTTCCTAAACTCAAGTTCCACTTACGTGGTCAACATTTTGATGGCAATGATGACGTCATCTATGCGGTATGGGCCAATCTGGGGGGTCCAGATGCAACCTTCTTCCACAAGGGGAAAATAAAGCTGGAACATCACTGGACCAAGTGCATTGCAGTTAGAGAGGACTATATAAAAAATAGCGTAAGAAAAATTTTACTGTCATGACGTTTTCTAGGAGAGGCCGAGAACTTTTGGATCACCCCTCGTACACGTACACACACACGTCCCTCGGATAGGACGTTAAATGGAGGTCCCGTGTTTGGGAGAGCCACACCCCACACACGTTAAAGAACCCACCACACGTATCGAAAAGATGTGAGTGGTTCAAACCTTACAGTATGGTCTCAGGTTTGACATCTTGAAGAGGTGATATTCACCTGTTACGTCAATCCTTCCACAAATGTGGTAAATCTTCATAAAATAAAATAGAATAGAAAATATGCGCACATAAACACGTGGTGCACACGTACATACACATCCAAACACAAATAAGAAATCTGTATAAGAAAAACTCAAGATGATCATGAACCTCAACAGTGCGTCTGAAACACCACCGTGCTGTTGCAAGTTCAGGTAAAAGTCCCGTCTCTGCCACCGTGAGACTGCGCGTCTTGTAGGATCCTCAGGCCGTCCGTCAAACTTCCTGGCAAACATGAACCTCCGCGAGGCGCGCAGCAGGGACGGGACGTCTTTCTGATGGAAGGTCCGCGGGCCCTGGTGTGACGGAGATAAAGATGGCACATAAGTAATATCATTGTTTTATTCTACAAGTGTGAGTTTGTGCTATCTTCTGACATCATGACCTGCCCACCTTGCCACACATGTCCGTCTCGTCTGCGTGCCGACAGAACCCCAGCTGGTCTTTATCCAGGAACGGCGCGATGCGGTGCAGGTGCTCCGGGATCAGCGTGTGCCTGTGGTAAAGCAGGAAGACTATCAACTTTGTATGCTAACTGTGGGTCCAAATAAAATCAACATAATGTAATGAAATCTACACAAGCTTTAGAAATCCATCTATAAATCCGTGCGCCTGTTTGTGTGTCTGTTGTGATCTGATAATGTCAATGCCCTCATGCTAAACCTAGTAGAGATACAAAATTGTCGTACTTTCTTACAAGCCGGTGTGACAATTCTTCCTAGTAGCTGCTCAATATATCAAAAGTTCTGCCTGTTACTTTTCCCATCACCATTATCACTTCAGAACGGCTGTTACATAAATCACTTTGACAGGACGCCGAATACTTTCGGTTTTGGTGAGCAGGAAATACTGTTGATTACAGACTGACCTGAACTGTGATGACATGAGAACAGATACCAGGTACTTCTCGTCAGGAATTGAAGACGTCTGCAGGTAGAACTGAAGACCATTGATGTTCTTGTCGCGGCTCTTGTTTGACACGACGAATTCGGCAAAGTCTCTTCAGGAAAAATATTCAACCACATGTTATCCGCTGTGAACCACATGCACAAACTTCAAGTCGTGAGATTTGCGTTTTACAATGTTTTATGTCCCGTCACGTTCATCCTAGGCCGTCGTACGATTTTGATGTACGACAGACTCAACCACCGACACGGAAAGACAACCTTTTCCGTGACAAGACAACTGAATTTTGTAAAACATGTGCACATGTAACTGTGACTGTCCCACCAAGAATATCTTTACTTTTGATCGCACGACGATCAGACGACGAATGTGACACCTGTCCTAAAGGAAACACACCACAGTGATGCTAATCATCAGCTCGGTTTCAAATGCCTCTTATGAAAGCAGATGAAAAGTTTGTATCCTATTTTGTGATGATCCCAGGTAACTATATATTGTAAGGAATATAGCAGAGTGAGAAGTAAGTGGAATGGCGCTGACCTGCTCAAAACAGCCCACTGGGACGCCGAATAGATGTCCGCCACGGCCGGAGCCTCACCTCGTCTCGTCACGTTATACACATGCCCACCGCAGCTGTGCCTACACAAACCATGGTATACACATTATACACTAGCCCGCAGATGCTGTGCCCACAGAATGCACGATATACACAAGATTCACAAAACCATACACACATCATGCAAACAGGGCATCGGATTCATGGCAATATTTCATGAAATCGGTCAATCTCAGTAAGTTGATCTTCCTTACCATACGGATCTATGTCTGTCCTTCCATTGGTGGTTGACATGGATGAAATTCTTGCCTGTTCGGTAAACAGAATGTAGTGAACAGTTTGGGAACTTGCCCCTCTAAGACAGGTTATTGGCTTTTATGTTTGACACATTAAATCTTACAATTAATGTGCCTGTTAATGTGTCTTTTTCCTAGTTCGATACGTTTATTAGGCCCCATTTAGGTGCTTGATATAACATGGTCCTAGACTTCTTGTTGCTTTACCTCCATAGACAAGGATATTAAGCTCCTGTCACACATTCCAAACCTTCCCACGGCTTTCCTCCATGACCATGATTTGTCAAAATTCATAGTCGGTTGGTGCAGGTGACTTACAGACTAGTAGGCAACCTTACCATGGCCGACCAACTCCCAACCATAGATGGCTTTGCTCATGAATAACTCCCAACCATGGTCTGTATCTGTATCTGTATAGCCGGTATAACCGCCTTTCGGCGTAACACACCAGCTTCGCAGGCACGAGGCGCAGCGGCAGCTGGCTATATTACACCGATCGACTTGTTCCACCTAACCCTTGAACTTCAAGCTCTAGACATTGTTTAAAGCTATCTATTGACAGTGCCCCTACTGTACTTGGTGACAGTGAGTTCCACTCTGCGATAGTTCTAGGAAAGAATGAATTCTTGAACACCGCAATCCTTGGTTGATAACTCTGGTACTTGAATGCGTGGCCATTTCTTGTTCTCTTCTGGGCTGGTATTAGGTACTTAGTAGTTTCATCATGCATAGTCTAGACATCTTTCTTCTGTCTTCAAGTGAGGTCCACTGTAGGTTTCTTTTCATTTCCGTGACACTAGCACCTCTTACATAGTTGTTCATACAGAATCTTGCAGCTTGATTCTGTACCCTTTCCAATCTGTCTGAAGAAGGTCGGGCATCCATGGTCGGTCATGTGTGACAGGAGCTTTGATTAGGTACCAAGTACGTCCAGTGTGATATTCTATGCTGACACAACTAGAACTCATCCTACCACCCATATAAACCCCGGTACTGTATTGAATGAGTAAGATATCTGACCTCTGTACGGTGCCAAGGCGGCCGCCATGTCGTCCACGTCTCGGAGAGCCAGGTCCGAGCCACTCAGGTTGATGACTAAGTCCCAGCTGCCCATGCGCAGTAGCTCTTCTGTCGCCTTTGGTCATCAGATGAGATTGGTATGTGTATGTTATCGATAACAGTAAGCCATACCCACTCTACACCCATGTTTTTGTATACGTAATAATTTTACCCAGGAAAAAAATTAGTAATGCATCATGAGTGTAGAAAATACCTCTAATTCTGCTCGCAGGATGTTGTAGGAGCCCCAAGAAGATGTAAATGACCTGGAGGCAAGAAAACATTTCGGTTACAACATCAGGACTGCCGTGCCAACATGTCCGACAAGTTGAAGCAGGAAACTGGAAGCCAGAGAAAACACGATCAAACCTCCTACCTTTGGTCTGGAAGCACCCTGATGTTTCCAGCGTCAGAGAATTTCCCCTTCAAAAGGTTCACAAGATTCTAAAGTTGACAAATAGAAGAAACGTCGTTGTTACATTCAATACCATACAATTCACTTTGATGTCACTGAAGTGAGGATAGCTTCACTTAGGAGGACGTGACTAATAATGAAATACAGCAGTTTCGTCGTGGTGGTAATATTGTAAAGTGGAAAGTGTGCATAGTGGGACATACATCATGACTCGTCAATAACCATACCCAAGTAACCATAATAGCGTATTTCAGCTGTCAACATTTGAAGAGATGAGCAGATCATCCTAATTCTGAGATACGGAGATAATATCTACGTAAACCTCCGAGAGATATTCATTATTTCTGCAGCTGGGGATCTATTGGGTTGTTAAACAATTATCAAAGTGAAGAGTTGACGAACCTGTCGCACGTTTGCTTGACTCTTATCCACGTGGATGACGTAATGAAAGTATTCGCGGTAAATGGATTCCAGTAACTGAACCTGGCGGTGGAAACACATACAAGCATATTTCTGATATGCACTATGATGTAATAGGAATAAATAAGAAGAAGCTGCACGTTCAAGTGACACTTATTGTACAAAATAGCTATAGTTGATATACCAGTGTAGTGGAATTACTCACGACTGCCTCTGGGTTGTTGTGCACCAGCAACGCGAACGCCATGCGGGCAGGGATCAAACTCACGTGCGGATGGGCCAGCACTGTTAGTACATGGAACAAGCCAAAGGGCCAACATTCTTAAATGATAACATGAATGCCAGCTATTACTAGTACATGCGGATGGGCCAGCACTGTTACATGATATTAACATTAATAACACACTGTTATGGCATGGGACAAGATACCAGGAGAACAGAGATCTAACTATCAAGTTGGTAAGTTTCCATTAGAACCAAAAGATGTGCAAATGCCAGGTGTGACAGGAAAAGTTTGACAGGTCGTTTGAGATGATGTTCATGTAACTGGCTGCTGTCGCACGCCTGCAAAGCTATCGGCTATACAGTATAGATATAGAAACCCAAGCCTGCTACATGTGTTACCTTCTCGATGTTTCCTTTCATCAGGACGTCGTCCTTTCCTTGGTAAAACAACGTCATTGTAAAACATCACTCCGTCCTTATCCACCTGAAAGAAAAAAAGGCACACGTTGGATAAGATCGAGAACTAAAAGACTGGTTACAATCTTAACTGGATTAATGATTTCGTCTGTTGTTGCACAATACCATGCTGCATCATGACATGGTGTCCATATAATACATGGATGTGCGTCAAACTAGAGCTATATTGACAAAGGGTCTTTGCAAAGAAACGAGCTTGTCGGTTACGTCCGAGCATTGTCTGACCTGTGACGTGACCAGGGCCGGTACACAGCCGCCATGTATGTTGTAGTGGTAGGCACAGTACACCTGCAGCAACTCATCCCGGCATGCTTCACTCGGCACCCTGGCGGGAACACACGTGGCTTTTTAGATAGCTACTCTTAAGTTGCTGACTGGAGACCTTAAGTTAAAATTCTTTCTAGGTTACTAAGTGCACCGGTAACGACTGGAAATGTACGGCCAGTCGCAAAGCAAGCTTCCACATCGAGTTTACTGGGTATTTGCTTCGCATCTTCTACATCCAAACACACAGTTTGCGTTGTAAATACGTTACTATTTTCTATAGATGAATCTTTAACTTGTACTTTGTAGCGGTGACACACAGAAACGTCACATATCACGTCCTTCATACCTGCCGAGAACTTTCCACAAGTCGCTGACGACCTTCTCTGGGGGTGGAGGCTCGTCATCGCACACTCCATAATACCTGGGTAATTATACGGTACAGCATGTATGATTGATATATGAATAATGAATGAAGGTTAAATTAGTGTTGCCACCGTGGATATCGACAATGTTTTATTCTACCATGCACATGTAGTTAAGGTGGTTGAAACAGCTATTATGGGTATGTAAAAAAACCGTGTCTGGCGTAAATGAGATTCAAAATACAACCGTGCAGTGCAACGTAAAGGAATGCAACAAGTCAAGCGTCATTACATCGCTGTCCATGGCTGATAGGTTTGCAAACCTATAGCGTTTAGGATGCCTATAATTTTCTGCACCATCTCACCATTACTTTCCAGACATACCAGTCTGTGAGCGCCCCATACACGAGTACGCCGTTACAAGAAACGCGAAGAAAAACGTCACCGACCTTTCAAAACCGCTTTGTTTTGGTCCAGGACACATAACTGAAAATATGTCATTTTCAGCCGGAGTGTTCCATTGGATGATATCTAACCCATGGTCCATCTCAGTTACAGAAATGTGTAAAACCTCTCTGGTGCGTTCCCTCTGATGTCTCTCATATGTCAGAGTGTCTGTGGTTGCATCTGCCGTGCAGACGTATCTAACTTCCAGTTGTTTTCTTAAGTCCGGTTGTGGATCTAACCCACACAGTTTCAGGGAGGGTTTGAATATACAGGCTTGGTGTCCCAGACAACGGAGAACCGGGTCGCAGCCCGTCCCGACGGGGTAGTACCGGGGACTGGAGGAGTTCTGAGTGTGGTACATGCCGTTCTTGTCTTGGGGGCTGGGGAAGTCTTGGGTGCGGTACATACCGTCCTTGTCCCGCAGGATTCCCGTGGAGTCCCCGGTGATGTATATAGGAAGGTCTCTCAGGCCATACAAACGGACCGCTGTGCTGTCAGACTGAAGGTGTACTCTACTGCCAAACCGGACAGACAGGTTGGAAATAAAGTAGCCACGAGAACATAACAGAAAAGCCGTCTTGTTCTCTGTAATGTCTGTTTTAACGGCGAAAGACCTGTCCTGTGTCGGGGGTTTGAAGTAGGTTATTTCCCTCAGTCGGTACACGTGTCCTGTCCACCTGCCTGCACCTGGAACTGTTGACACGAACAAGACAAGTAGAGGAAGGTGCTCGCATGTGTAGTACATGTCGCCTATAAGAGTGTATGTACTTCTGTTTCAGGTTGCCGTTGTCACACACCTAATTATATGTAGCACATAATGAACGTCTATTTTTATCTCCAATTTTATATCAGGGAGTTGTCCCGTTGTATGATCGTGTGTCATTAAATATGAATGTAATTAAAGAGGTGACATTGGCAAGCAAGCGGAAAATGGTTCACTCACTATCGTTTTCTAGTGCGGTACAAAAATTACATGTATATGTCTGTACCATGCCCCAGCTTTAAGAAAACTTATTAGTACTCGGCCTAGAAAAGACAGTTGGCCTATTCGTTAATGCTTGACACCTTCTTGAATTGTCTTTGCCAGAACAAAAAGAAGTGTACCAGGTGAAACATCAGTGAAAACAACGTATTTCCCTTTTTGAGGGGAGAAATATCACCTGATGACAGAGTGACGATTGGTGACGCCACCATCACAAGTACATGTGCCAGAAGCCATGACGTCAGGGCCATGTTCAACCTTTCGGCAAAAAATACATAAAGGATTACCGGTTGTTACATTGATCATGATGACGTGTACCAAAAATGACATCGTATAGGCTATATAGGACATAATGGGTGTACTGAACGGCCGGGTTCTCGGGTATATCTTAAAGAACTAACTACAGAACTGATCGAATATTTGGCGAGTCTTCAGTATTATGGTGGACTATATGATTAGCAAAATTAAATTCTGCACTCAACAAAATCAGAAAGAATATATGTTACAGTCTTTCCTCCCGAAATCCGCCCAAGATGCCTATTATCCTGTTTTGTCACAACATAGACGTGGCAATGATGGTAACGATTTTGAGTTAAGTTGCGGATAGAAACTAGAATAAATCCAGAGCTATTTTCATTCTTAAAGAGATATATCATTGTGTACTGTACGTAAGGAAAAAGTCGCATCCGCAACGATAGAAGATTACAGGAGGGATGAGGGCTGTATTGTGCGGGGGATTTTGCTTCAACAGATGATTAACTGTCGACTTGGAACGAGTGAATTGTTGCTGTTCCACATTCCTTGGGCGTGATTTCATCCTCTAATCCATGTACGAGCCGTGTCGTTGTACATTTTCTACTCTTGAATAGCTTACTGCATAAATGACTCGTTTTCTTATTCCTATTATGAAGTAATACACATTTCGCTGCGAGGCCTGACAACATAGCAGACTAACCCAACAGACTAACCAAGCCGACTAACCCAGGGTAAAATCTGGTCCATGTTATTTGGATGTCGACGTCCAAGTGACCTATCAGTACTCAACAAAAGTCAAAATTCTCTCCAGCAGTGTTATTGATGCAAACGCATTTAACGCATTATGCGAAGACTAGTTGTTTCTTGAAATGCGCAAATTCAATTACAACGTAATGATACAGTTCTGGTTTATTTTTACTTTCAAGATCAGAGACAATCGCCGTTGGATACAACTCGTAACAACATTGACGGTAGCGATGATACAGTGTGCATGTCACACGTCACTTTAAGCACCTTGACCGACTAAAGAGATTTAAGTCCCAGCATATATCGTACTGGACCTGTCGTGGATGTGTGGAGTTTGCGAATTCATACAACACGAGTATAGCAATAGATTTACCTTTGGCAGGCAGTTGCGGGTAGTACGTATGGAGAAGAATTTTGAGCTGCCGCGGCACAGGTGACTTCGGTACGCACTCACCACTGTCCGGACTCTAACGATGTGTGGTACGCTATTTTGGCTTTTGGGGTTCCACGTGTCCCATTCCCGCCGATAATTGAGGCGAGGGTAAGCCGTGACACGTCACTACCTCATGTCCTGTCTGGGGCAGGGCACAGACATTCACTCCCCACTTAGGTGAGTCAACAATCTCATCTACCCATGGTTTGAAGTCGGGGTAAATGGACGGGGCTTGCTTTGCGTCAAAAAGCCAGGTAATTACATGTATACAGAGCCTAGCTTTTCCTTTTGTAAAGACCATTGTGGTGGGAATTGTGAAGGGAAATGTGAAGGGAATTATGAACAAGCTTTTCGTCGCCAATCATCAATTTCAGTTGTGTCGATGATACCACGTGGACATCTACTGCTCTTCAGGCCCGACTGGGAGGGCAGGAGGTTTTGTAATTTCGTTAGACGAAAAAATGTGAGTGAAGAACATTTTCTAGCATCGTTTATCACTGTCTTGTTATGTCCTGTGGGGTTCCTTATCCCGAGGCCACATAAAGGCAAAGTAAAGGAAACATTGTGGATGACCATGGGGCTATGACACAGCCGCTCCACGGAGACCCATAGATCATTGCCTTCCCACCAATCTTTGCGCTGATGAGGTCCCACCTGTTTTGTTGATTGGTCCCTTCAGACGTAGTACTTACCAAACTAACAACGTTTTGTTGACGTCATGATGAGTCCCTACAGATTACCGTCAGTCCAACCCGACATAGATAACGCCATCTGCATGTAATCTCCAAGCAGATCTTTTGGTGGCTGCAAAGACAGTGTCATGCTGGGCAGGCAGTATCCATTTGCCAGAGAGTTATCATTAATCAACACAAGTGTGACTGTGGGTGGCGTGGTTAAAAGATCCACATTGGAACTTATCTTAATGTCTAAGCAGATCTTCTGGTGGCTGCAATACAGTATCAAATTAGCAAGACAGTATCCATTTGCTTACATAAAAAGATAGAAAAAAGAAACCCTGATAAAAACGAAAAAAATAAGCCTCTGTAAGACATTTAGTCAGCGTCTCCCAGTTTTCAGACTCAACGGAAAGACCGAGGAGTGGATCTGCAGGGACATTTGTACCGATGAGTTGAGTCTGTCTTGATTAATGTTCTGCTAAAATACAGCGGCGTCGGAACCAGTTGATGTTTTCACCACAATTTTATAGACCTTTCTTGTCTGCGTGAAATGTTATGTAAGGTAGAAATGGCACAGTCAGACATACAATAACTTTGATACTCCTAATCTTTAATGTGTCTGGAGAATCGAAATAAATCAGAACAGAACTTCGAAATTGAGCCAACAATACATCAATAGCCTCCTTATTTACGCCTACACACTGGGTCACCTATGGGGAAAGCCACACAAGGCTACAAAATGGCTGCCGCTAACACAGGTAACTACAACTGGAACTGATGAAACGAATATGAAGTGCCTTTAGATCTAGACTCCATCCAGCATTCTGTTGTTGTTAACCGTACACGGAGAAGTTGTTAACCGTACATGCAGAACTGACACGTTGTTAACCGCCTTTTTATGTTTTTGTTAACCGAACATGTTAACCGTACATAGAGAACCATCACATTGTTGTTGTTAACCGTACATAGATAACCATCACATTATTGTTGTTAACCGTACATGGAGAAGTTGTTAACCGTACATGGAGAAGTTGTTAACCGTACACGTAGAAGTTGTTAACCGTACATGGAGAAGTTGTTAACCGTGAACGGAGAAGTCGTTAACCGTACAAGGAAAAGAAAGTCGTTAACCGTACACGGAGAAGTTGTTAACCGTACATGGAGTACCAGCACCCCAGGCCCAGCTTGTTCATGACGGACAGGACGGCTTCTCCCACCGCTGCCGTCAGGTCGGGCCGGAACTCCGCGCGCACGTCCTCATCACACTCCATGATGGACCGGATCAGCTCATAGGTGGGTCTGTGGAAAACAACGGTAGGCAACGGTAAGTAACCAACAGGTTCAGGCGAGGCAGTTGAACCACGGTTGTTGTAGATCCTAGCCGTGACACAGTCCAACTTCTATAAAAAGAAGAGCCCAGTTAATAAACTGAAAATGTGAAGAGAAGAAGTAAAATAACACCACGAAAACTTCTTGTTGCACCTTATACTCACAATCATCTCATAAGTTGACCCGTGAACGAGTATAGAACTACGACGCTGTAGATGGAGCGTTCTTCATACTATGTTGGTGCATGAAATGTGAATGTCATCAGGACGCACAGACACACTACCTGTTCCGGAGCAGCTCCTGTACTGGCATGATGGCCTTGATGGCTTGGGTGTTGTTGGCAGCCACATCACAGATGCCGTGCTCCTCCAGGCAGTGAGACTCCGCCATGATGACCAGCTCCTGCAGCTCCACACACGACCCGGACAGCAGCCCCAAGTCACCGGTCAAGGTTCGCGCAATACACGGTAGCGCCGCTTTCAGGAACACTTGGCCCTGCAGAACAATGCGCTCATCATCATCAGAATCAGAACAGCATACTCATTATCACCATCGGAGCAACACATCATCATTAGAACACACTCATCATCATCATCGGTACAACACAACAATGTGACAAATTGTACCTAATTCAGGGGGATGCGCTTCTGCTCCCCCTGCTGTTACACATTTGTAAAATGATGAGCAATAAATAAATAAAATTGAATCTATGTACAGTGTGCAGATGTAGTTGCAGTTAAGTCCCTCCAATGCCAACTTGACAAAGCTGCTTTTCTCCACCAGATCCTGATTAGCCCCCCGTTCAGTCAAAGGTCCCTCGGGGACAGATTCTCAAGTCTTACGCTGCTTTTCTGGCAACGTTTTCTGGTTAAGTAGTCATTTGGTATGACACTTAAGTCGCATCGGATATGTATGTCCTGTTGGAGCTTTGCGGAGTCCATATTTATGGTTACCGATTATGTAAAATGATACGTAGTTGCGAGATGCAGACAGTAGAAAGCCATTCTGCTACTTCCGTACTTAGATCAGGATCGGAGAACGACTGGCGTCTGGCGGTTACAAGATTTCTATGACAGATTAGATGCATAATGAAACATCATACTGAACTTTCTTGTGCAGTTTCTTCCGACAAACTAGAAAACTCCCTGCAGACATCAAACCCACACATCGATTTTACGGCAGATAACTGTGGTGCATAATTAGTTCTGATTCCGCACTTCCAGGTTTGCCTGCGGATTTATCCAAATCAACAGGCCATAGAAAAAGCACGGAGAGCTGAGACAAATCCCAGACAAGTCGCCAGGAAAGATTATGGGCTTAGATTAAATATCATGGAGTAAAGATAAAGTGTAAGGGAATTATGTCCATTTTACTGCTGGACAATTTTGTTTTATCAACGATCATCGGATGACTTGTTTTTGCGTCACGATGCTGTGCGGGTATCCACGTTGACTTAAGTACCACTTATGCCGGTACGGTAAAGCGAACAGTCTGAATTTACATGAAGAAGAACGTAAAGGAACCCTTATACCAGATTACCTACACGCAAGCCTTATCGACGACTACTATGGCCAAAACTTTGAAGTTACAAAATAACGGACAACCTTCTTTAGTATAAGCTTGTCATGGTTTTGTAGAACCTATGACATTTGCCATAATCCTCGACAAAGAGAGAGAGAAGGATGAAGTGGTGGCGCTAACACCTCATGACCACAGTGAAAAGTGGCCAGCAGGTATTTCATGAATATAAAAAGGTTTAAAGAAAGTAACCTATGTGTTGAAGCGGGGCAATTGTACCTGTGTGTTGAAGCTGTGTCCGTTGTCCAGAAGGCGCTTGCAGAGTCTGTGCATGCCTCCTGCTTCACACGTCTGTTCAAGACAGGCGAAGACGTCGCACCCGATGGGGGATGATCCCTTCAGACATTGTATGAGCCCACCTACAAGGAGAAGGTTATCTGTAAATCTCCCGTGAGGATATGTGGGCGACACTGACCTTGCCTGCAGATCTTAGATACATTTAAGAGAATAAATGTGGGTTGTACGGCTGAGAACTATCTCTCGGACAATCTCTCAGATAGCAGTATTCTTTGTATACTGCCCACCAACCCGGCTCACGTGACAACCAGGGCCTGTAAAGCTTCTGGTGATCTGTACCTTTGTTTTTTTGTCAAAACTTTGTGTCGACGTGCGACGTGCTTCCCTACAGTTTACGTGAATCCTACATGTTGTCAGCTATTTTCAATTCATGTATGATACAAGGAAAAGCAAGCTCTGATGAAAAATATGAGATTTTTGTTCCGTTTTCAGGTTTTATATCACCCCATTATATTTTGATTTACATCGAGTACATTTTTTGTATATGGTAATAGCAGACAACCCTGCAATTAAGTTGTACAGTGTATTGTCAAAGATCAGCACCAAGGCCATGGTAGATCATATCCTTGTGTTCAACACGGCCTGAAACTACCGCTGGTATAAATATAGGGGTCGAACCAGACAATCAACAGTGGAAAACGAAAATTATTGATCGATCTATTGGCTGCTTCCTTGGTCGATCAGTTGATTAGCTGCTTCATTGGTTGGTTGATCCCAGTAGCTTATCACAGGCTGAAAATACCTGACGTGTTTCTGCTAACCCTGAGCTACTACAAGTGTCCTTGTGTTATCGGATCGACTCAGCCGCTATCATTGGCAGGTCACAGCGCGAAACCACCATTGAGGATCAAAATATATGTTTGGAGGACACAAGTCTTTTGATATGGTGTTCTCTCTGGGAATGGCGGTTCCTTCTCCACGAAGTCGATATATGAGGCCATGTACCATCAGATTCGTTTGCTTATGTTTCAATCTGAGGCCTCACACCATAATCATACTCAGCGCTCTTGTTAGTCTCCATGATTTTCAACCGAAAAAAGACTTCAGTCCATACCTACGATTAACGTACACCCTACTCACGTAAGCGCCAGGGCGGGAGGGTGCTCGGTGACTGCAGGGTCTCTGCGAAGAGAAAGCCCGCCGTGCAGACCGGCAGAACCAACAGCACTGTCAGGAGAGATGGCCGCACCACGGTTGTCATCCTCAGACTGTAGCCTGGACTGTACCTGGCAGTGTTCGAAACTTGCTCCGTGCCGCAGACTGTTCACACCAGGGAGTGAGCAAGGCTGCTGCGCGGCCCGACTTTTATAGCGATAGCTGTCCGTCATTTGTGCGTGGGCTGTCGCGTTTGCGGTAACGAGGAGGCGGACTCAGGATCTAGTCGGGATTGTAAACCCGTATGACAAGTTACTTGTCGAGTTGCCAGGTAACCAGGGGGCATTAGCAGATCAGGTGTACTCAAAACCAACTTTGCAAATACGTGGTCCACAGGAAAGTTTATTCGCGTATCCTGTTGGCCCGCACCTGTAGAAACAACGATATGACGAATTAAGGGAAGCTCTAGAAGTATGATGCTCGTGTATTTAACAATCTTGCACCTCTGTGCGTTTAAAAACAGAAACAACCTTTCCTTGTTTCCGATGAAAGTATTTTGGGGCTTCAGGGAAAGGCTAGTTGATAAGAGGTGCTGCATGCAAGGGCAAACAAACCTACCCTATCTCACGCATCTCACAGTGGAACAAGCTGAAGAAAGGCAACACATACGAAAAGAAAACGGGCAGCTAGTCTTCTATCTAAGTAACAGCCGTTTGACGTTGCGCAACGTAAGGGCTATCACTTACACTCTCCTGGTGTTCCTGGAGTTCCCCAGGATGTGGCCGTAAAGTCCGTCCGGAGAGGTGGCAGGTGCGACAAGAGATCAGAGCCGAGAAAACGTGAAACAACCAACATTACAGCAACGTTTAAAGGAGCTTAGTAATCAACCTGCTGTCCTTGGAGGATCCTTAAAAGCATGCTGTACAAAGTGTTGCCGTTTCTGTGATATCCTTGTAGAACTAACATCTACCTCAAGTTGGCGTGACAGGAAAGTCGGTTGTGGGCGGACGTGGATGGGTCCGAAGGTAGTGGTCCTAGTCAGAACACCATGGCATTTTATAGTCTTATACCTCTGCTGTGGTAGCCCACGATACCTGTAGTCAGGTATCACTAGAACTCACCTTTTGGACGCTACGTACATTTTCTGAGTTATAAACAATCCTCTCATAATCGGCAAATTTAACTCGTTTGCTTTTCTGTTGTTCTTGACCATTAAGAGGTACGTTTACTGGATCACCTTTTATGCTATGCGCTTGATTATGGCATGTTTGAGTGTACTTAAAGAATGGATGTGTTTTAGATGTGATATGTTTGAAAGCAGCTTGCCGGCATTTATGGAGATAAACTGGAAGGTTGTCAAAACATTACGAGGACCACCCGTCTGTTAATCGGCTTGGTGACTCCAACTGTCAATGTCATCTCAACTTTTTGAAGTGTCTAAGCTTAAGAAGAAAAGTTCTCCCTCATTGCAGGCTTTTCCAGATCAGCGGGCTGTAAACTGACAACCGTTCCTCTGCCAGTCTACGTCAGTCCATGACTGTTGCCATGGAGAGCAGACATGCGGAAATCCGGCACTTTACTCCTATAGCTTACACGGCTTTTTACTCCTACTACACCTTCAAAATCCACAGGTTTACAAAGAACTGTCTCGTCGGAAATCCACCTCCAGGTGCGTACTGGCCAGACAGAGCTTGCTTTACATATATATATATATAAACGCTTTTATTGCCCACATTAGGATAAGGACATTTAATGCTGTTAAGTTCGCAGAGTTTTGCAGGCGAAAACTGGGCAAACACGTAACAGTACATTCTTCTTTGCAGAAGAATATAGTTTCAAATCGACCTGTAGATATGTACACGTTCGCACAAACCTTTCCCTGCCAATACTACATTGTATCATAGCAAATTGATCACTAAATGATTTTTATAATATGTTGTTCAAAGGGACAATCAATGAAAGTTCAACTATTCCCGAATCGTCTGATCATAACTGGCCATCATCGATGTCGTTATTATCCACTGATTAAAGAAAACAGCGATTGCTTTCATCGTAAAACTGGGCTCACTTGAGGTGTCCAGTGGTGAACTCAGTATCAGGGCAGATCTGCTCTGTCCTTGGTGCTGAATGTGCTACACAGTTTCAACTCATTATGGAAAGCTGTCAAAGTACAATGAACAGTGCATTCGACTATTTAGCAAATCCAATAAATTTTTTAAGGGAATCATTGAGAATGTGAAGGAGGCTGTACATTTTAATATACACCTCATCATTGTATTCTCTGCATTTTTTCTGGCATTGGTATCCTATACAAGTATTCAGAAGAGAATTAAAGAAGTGTTGATTTTAAGAAATATCATTATCGAAGGAGTTGGAATTGTTTGAACAAACATCAACTGCTACACATGTTGAAGTATCCTGCCATACCTTGCTGCCCAACATAGCTGCTGGTAACCTAAGATGGCACAATGAAACATGGTACCAGCAGTAATCTTCTAGCAAACGGCTTTGCAATGGCTGAAGTGACATTGGGGTTTACTGTGTTGAGCTGTTTACCTGATGAAATAATGCTACATGTAGGTTAACCTTTACCTTCTATACCCGTTCTAACCATTAAAATCAAGAGGACACAACAGAAATTTTAACATTTACTTCACATAGTTTCAAGTGTGACACATATTTAGCATGTTGATAGATTTATACATATAGATATACATTTTTGCTGCTGAAGTATCTGTATTTTACAAGAATTACAGTTGAATTTTTTACAAGACAAGCCTAACTTCCCACCCAGACCTCTGATATGTGGTATGAGGACATCAAAGACTTCCACCTCCTACTGTGCTTATTAAAGCTCTTGTGCATAGTCACTGCACATGGGAGCAGAGGTTCACAAAGCCTGTGAGGAATTAGCAGCAAACTAGTGCAGCAAATGTTGACTGTAGCTCGAGTCAAGAGACAGAGGGCCCATAGTTCACAGCTGCAGTACCTGATAAATAGGATCCTTCCGAAATCTCAGTACTTTAACAACAGGACAATATGGAAGGTTTCTGACACCAGTAGAATGTTGTGTCATATAACTGCCCCAGGCTTTTACACATGTTAGCAACTGTTGCCAGGCTTTACTACTGGCTCTTACAGACAGCACGGCAGTTACATAATGCATTACAAGCTAATTCCTGCCCATTTTGCACTGTGTGGTAGGGATGATGTAGCATTAGAACTGGGTGGGCTTTATGAGCACACTTATCAAACACTTGGTGCCCAGACGATAAAGATGTTTTGTGTGGCTAAGTTAGAACAGTAGAGATGTTTTAGAAACATTTGTAGCCAGTTAGTTTTGATGACATGAAGTCATAAACGTCATAAATAATAACTATTATATCTCATGACTTGTCTACTCCATGTTGTCACTACGCAATTTGTTTACCAGCATTTTAATCATAACAGCAACAGCAACAGTGCATAGTGTTAGTTCCAAGTCTATTAGTATTTACATTAAATTTTATCTATGGAGATAAGTTACAGATTTGAGCTATTTACACTGGAATCTATCATGCGCTTATACATGTACAATGTTTGGTCCTGTTTTCTATCTAGATCTGTGAAAATCAGTGTTATTTTTGTGCATGTGCTGAAAAGGACAGATGTAAGAAGAACCTTTGGCATCTAATAAGACTTAATGGTCAGTTGTGGATGTAGCTGTAGTGCAGTGAGTGGTTAGTACAACTGATTTAAATCTGCTACAGCTGATACTAGTAAGAGCAACATTGAATCAGCAGGTCATCCCTACTACCAACCTGTCTATAGAGTACAGGAGAAATGTTATGTTAGCAATTAAACGACAGAAGGCATTCAGGTTTCACAGATGAATGAAAGAATAAAATGTGCTAAAATTTTACAAATCAAAGAAAGTCAGAGGTGAAAATGAATTCAAAGCATTATGGAGGAATAGAAGGGGAAGGTGGAGCAAAAAGATTCCCTGTAGGAGTGATGGACTTCCTTCTACATGTGGAGGCTCTACAGCTAATCCCTGAATACTCTCTTTACTAGCCTCACAATGAGCACATCTGTGTGGAAGTCTGGAGAGGACTGATGAGGACCTGAGGACAGAACTGCAGCACAACTGGCTGGTTAGTGGAACATTAACAACAGGGAGGAAAGCCAGGCTTACATAAGGCTGTATGGAAACGTTTAACACTGGTAAGTCTTAGTGCCATCTTAAAGCTTGCCAAATGTAGGGGATGGCATTGGCAGCATCTTTTACCTTTCCTCTTTATACTTTTCTCTTTATGCTTTCCTCTGTAGTACCAATTACAGTGCTAACTTTGAGCTTTTTCCCACTCACAGTTCAGACAAGGACAGCAGCCCACATGGCTAGACCTGACATGCAGCTGCAGAGGTTCACAGTTCAGACAACAATGGTAGCTCACAGGACAATTCAGGTTGCGCTGACAGACTTCTCACACAAAAATGCTGTAACAGTGTTTCCATGACAAGAAGCTGTGTTGAGAACGACCTAGTTTATATAGAACAGTACAGTTTCTGTGACAGACTTGTCATGATGCTGCTTATCTAATGTCCTTGATTTTGCAACTGTCTCAGACTGCTGTTTCTATGGCAACCCATGTTATGCTGTGTGTTTCCATGACTACTGAGAAGTCCACAGTATTCCATGACAACCCTACTTGCATGTTCCCATGATGCACTGGTGTGTCAGTGTTTCTCGGTGACGACCCTGCTCCAGTCTGGCCAGAACAGTTCCCTCATCCTGATGCAGTAGTTCGCCAGGTTAATATACTCACCTAAACAAACAAAATCACATTTACCTGCATGCGCAAACTGTATACACAAACAAAGGCAATACATGTACGTAAAACAGCAAATTTTAAGTCATGGTATATGTGGTTTTAGAGTTACTCTTTTGTTATTTTTCCATTTTGTATATCAATACATGCATAACTACTATGAATATGGACACATACACAACCAAGGAAATTGCCTTTAATAAACAACTTTATTTATTTATTTATTTATTTATTCAAGCTTTACCACAAGTGGAAGGGAAGGGAGAAACAGGTGGAGACCACCTTTACAGGCTCCCTCCCCAAAGACATAAATGACATTACAATCAATCATAGTTAAAACTAATTAAACATATTACACAACATCGTAAGTAGACAATAATAACAATATATACATGTATAATTGCACAATTTCATAATAGCTAGATCTCTGCACATGTACATCCGGCCGTGGAAGTGCCCCATGTCTACCGTGGCCTTATTGCCAGACATGTGGCACACCGACAAGCAGACGTCCACGTGCAGAGATTGTCAGTAACAAAATGATCATTAAATCTCTTGGTCAGCGATTTGACAAGACCCCGTTTGAATGTTAAAAGCTCGGACTGCCCCGAAGCGACAGCCCCCATGTTCCTCACCCTTAACCAGAGCCTCTGCCCGGGTGCCTGGAAGGGTCCACATGATCTGAGCGAGCACTCCGAACAACGAGCAGTCTGCCTCGCAGGGTCGCTCCCCCAGGATAAAGGACTGGTCACCTGGAAAACAGGCACCAGTCAGGAGACAGGCCAACTATCCTCACGATAAACTGTACAGGATAGCAACCAACTTTACTGATTACTAACATCACAACAGTTTCTGGATCATGGGACATAAAACTGTTACCTTAATGGTAATGCTGTGAGAATGGTGACCATCTTCCCAAATAATAGACTGCAGTTTCCTATTCCTATAACTACCTAATACCTCTGACAGTGCCTTGATATCCTCCTACATAATCCTAGTACTGTAGGAGTAATTCCTGTAACTAATTTATACCTAGTAAGTCTGACAGAGCCTTGAGATCCTCCTCCATAATCCTGTACAGCTCCTCCCTGCTGTTCTTGCCGATGCCGTGAGCGTACATCTCCCGTAATATGATCCCCGCCATCATCCATGGCACCACAAACTTCAGGACACCGTCATAAGGCAGCTCTGCTCGAGTCTGGTCCACATGGTCAACCCACCTGCAGTACGCCACTGTCCTGAAAGGAGGCATTTGTGTACCATGTCAGCAGGTCTGCCAATAAAGGCTGTTCCTCTGTTAATCAACAAGGACACAGCTCAGTAAGCAAAAGGACATCTGCAGGCATATACATACTCATGCTGCAGCTGCCCAATGATGGTGATGATACATAGTATTACATAATACAAGAATTACAGTACAGATGTAAGAAATTCAAGTCCAAACAAAAGCATAAACATGTAGCAAACAAAGCACAGCAAACACAAAGATTGACAATGTTAACTGAAATTTCCATCACGAATGTACTTGTCCATATGCATATTTGGCACATCAATGAGCCCAAATATGGGAGATTAGTATGATCATAGTTCTCCATTGATAACAATTCTCTGATTACAGATTTTCAGTATGGACCTTTTCCTACACAGGAAAGTGTACTTTGTGCTGTAACATTACATGATATTTCATACCAATTTCAGCATGTTGTAAGGTCATTGTGCCCACACCATGTTTGTCTACCTTTGGCAGCACACAGGGTAGACACTACAGCCTGCAGTAGAGATGTGCAGCAAAACATGTCAAGTAAAATAAACAGAAAAAAGAATCTTGTAAGCAAACACATACAAAGCTGCAACAAAGGAAGTCAAAATCTCTTAAATCTGGTTTGTGACAACACATCATTTCTAACTCTGTAACTCTTGACTCATCTAAACCCAATTTTGACATAAAAACCCAATTTTGAGGAAAGCAAAATGAAATACTTGCTGTAAGAACACAGCAGCACACATATATTGGCACGTTGTTATGTCAGGGATAGTAATGAGTTTCTTTGTTTGTATGTTTGTTTGTTTGTTTGTATGTTTGTTGTAACCAAGACAACCAGACCAGTATAGACTCTCCTCCACCAGGGACACGACGGCACGAGACATGGCCTTCTGCTGGCTGGTCACATGACCACTCATGCCGTTCACCTCGATGTGGAAGGTTTCGGAGAGGAACATGATGGAGAAGGTCGCGTCCTCCACACGCCGCTGGTTAAACTGGATCCACGGCATCTTACCCTTGCTAGACAAGGGACTGTCCAGTATTGTCTGGGGGAGGGAACAAATGGAGATCTATTAGTGCCCTGTTAACATAACCATTTCCTTACACATATGTATCATCCTGAAGGTAATGTAACTACGGGATGAACTTAAACATGTTTTTGAAAAATGACCAAGAAGGATGCCTGAAATTCCTGAGAATGAAATTTACTCTGTCATGCTAAGTTCTGCTGAAACCATCACTGTCATAGGGAGGGACACTAGGTACATAAGTGAGAAACAATTCTTGTCTGGGTAAGTCTCTGTTTGACTCACCATGTCAGCAATGTTGTGAGAGGCCTTACCATATAAGGAATGTTGTGCATGCGCAGATAGGTCTCTAGTTTGAGGCAGAAGGGTGACAGACTGGGGATGTGCTTGGCTCTCTGGAACTGATGTAGAACTACTGTGTCTTCTGGATACACCGTGTTTTTCTGTCTGCATAAGAAAATATAACACATACAAAAATATCTGCATGAAAGTCCCTCTGTGTTGGTAGTTGAACTGTAGACTGAGATTCCTACATGGTCCTGGCAAAAGCAAAATTGTCATTATATGTTGGCAACACACATTTGTAGAAATAATTTCAAGGAATGTTATCATTTCATGACTGGTCTTCTCATTTTAAAAATGTACCAGTCCCTCAGTTAAGAAATTCAACTAGAAAGTCACAATGGAGATTAAAATACTTCATTTCAACATAAGGCCAACTACCCTACTGAAGTGTAATATTGGCTTTAATATGCTACCATTCATGAAAATCATGTTATAACGTTATATAATGATTCACTGATTGATTCAAATATTGAGAAAATGATTGACAGCTCCATGTAGCTGTGAATACTAAACGTGACGTTGGCCGTTTGCCCATATAAGGTAAGTATTTATCAGCCCTACCATAAACTACTCACATGTCCACAGAGACATAAATCGATCAATGAGAGGTCAGGACGTCGTGCTAAAGCTGCGTTTGTGTAGCAAATCTAATCTACTTTATTCTAATTCATAGACCTCGGATTACACTTTCTATTTACTGTTGTCCTAATCATGATGATATTACGTTAGGCCGTATTATGTTACTTCCATAACAAAAACAATGTTGTGTAACCTTCTATAAACCTTACATGATATCCCAACAGCACCCTGGTGCGTGTCGAAGCTCACCTGAATTTTTCCCAGATTCTGCTGACGAACACTATGGAAGCAGACGCCAGGGCAGCTCCTCCCAGCAAGCACAGGGCCGTGCTTTTCCAGGAGTTCCCCTCGGAAGGGGGAGGCAGGCAGAAAAAACAGTTGCAGTTCGCCATGTTGGAGCGCGGGGCATGACGGGTGACTTTCCCTTTCACCACCTGCGCCCCGATTCCCGGAAGACCACGCCTATTTCTGATATCGGTGCTGTTTGTTATAAAGTCGATGGGGGTCGTTCTTAAGCTTTCTGTCAATAATCAACCTGCATAGTCACGCCTTGAAAGTTCCGTCAGGTTCAAGAAGATTTACGTACGCAAGTAAGCTGATCTTGTTTTGTCCTCAGCACCAAGGTCGGCGACCTCCCCCTACTGAAACGTCTATTCTATGATGCTATGTGTTAAAACGCCGATAGAAGGGGTTCTTTTTCTCAGACGTAATCTAGTGCCATGACCATCTTTGAAAATTCTGTGAAGTTTCGGCAGATTTTTCCCCGTCAGTGAGCCGGACAGTGGCACGTGGCAGTTCAGCACCAAGGACGGTGACCTTCTAGTTCAGCACCAAGGACAGCGACCTTCCCGCTCCCCACCGTACGGACGTCGGTACGGGTGCCGCTTGCGTCATCGCTGCTCCTGATCAAACGTCGCGTAAAGCAGCTGTCTACAGCACAAACGGTCTCCCGCGGGCACGCGCTGATCGGTCTGATTCACGCGCTGGCCTCATGTAATCCACGTGATCCACAGAAACGCACGCGTTCCTCACCACAAGTCACCGCCGTCTTGTTTCTGACTTGACACCGCGAACAGACTGATAAGGAAGCAGTTTGTTCCAGAAAATAAGGCTTCCAGATACTAGAATAATTGGGGCATGCTGTCATAATTCAACGATATCGATGCTATGGTATTTTGGATGGACTTTTCGCAGCTGCATAGTTGATCAAATCTCACTGGCAACAGCTACGCAGCGAGAAAGCTGTCCCCGATTTTTCTCAAATCACTAACGAGTATGTAGTGCCTTTTAAACAAAGCAACTAAAATTCAAAGTTACATACAATACTATACTCTTAAACTCTAATAAGTCACTCAAATGTTCCTTCAGTCACTTAATACATATTTGACAGTAGCAGCAAGGCTACTAAACATCATCATTCATATCCACAGAATCCGTGGAAGGCCGATTGACAGAAACAGGTCGATCCGAACGAAGGCAGCAGAACCTGGCATTGAACTCTGTAGACCCCAGCCTGCCGGCACCCAGGCAGGCCCAACACGGCCTTGTAGATCTCAGACTTTGCCTTCACACGAATCGACCCTAGCTCGGATAGCGTGACTTCAGTAATGAGATTGTCCTTGGCGCCTGCTACAATAAGAACTAGAAAGGCCAATATTTGCTTTGGAGCAAATACAGCGATGGGTTCACCACATTTTACCACATGGCAGGGAAAGAATGAGAAACACAAGGGAAAACAATGATTTACATTGATATAACTATAATATGAAGTAACATACAACTAAAACAACAGTTGGATAGCTATTCCCTACTTCATTGGTTAGGATTTTTAATTGCATAATGCAAACTGTTGATTTTCAAAATAAAAAAAAACGTTCATGCCCCGCATTCCAATGCTGGAGCAGAAAAGCTTGAAATACCTACCAAAACACTTGAATAAAGACATACTGTCAGTATGGAAATGCTCCTTGCAGGTGTTAATCAAGTTAAATCCCAACAGCCAATCAGCAAGAAATGCTCTGTGCAGGTGGAAATGCTCTGTGCAGGTGTTAATCAAGTTAAATCCCAACAGCCAATCAGCAAGAAGTATAGAGGAAAGCTGCATACCTATTGGTTGATGCCCTGCATTCCAATTGTGATGACTCATGCCCAGACGTGGTAAACACGGCACACTAACACAGTAATACATTTGCGATAACACAGCCAAAAAACTCAAATAAAACCATTCACACAATATGAAATAATAATCTTCTTTTCTTTGCCTTTAGATATCCGACTTGTGGGTGGAAATTCCTCCAAATGAAGGCAGAGTGGAGGTAGTATCACAAAAATTTAAAAACGCCTAGGGGTATTT